AATACTTTCAATCTAAGTTACAAATAAAAATAATCATCCAAAAGTAAGTTTTGACTCATCTTGTAAGTCCCTTTGCGATCAAAGTGCTTAGCGTAATTTCAGTGTGGTAATATCGCTTCATATTTTATTCAGTTTTGAGGTTTTGGGGGATCGGTTGATTTAGGGGTAATAATCATCCCAGATTAGATATCAAGCGGACAGCCACTGAAGACCTAGGAGCAGTGAACGGTTGTTTCGTCGCATTATGGAACTCATCAGCGACGCGACCTCTCGTCTCGCGAGGGATCACACCTAGGACTGTCAGGTCTCACGGTAAGCACGTTATGATTCAGCCGATAATCCATATTTTCTAAATTCTGCGGTAGCACATCGAAAGTTAACAGACTCCACACTCCGGTGCAATTTGAAAACCTAATTAGTCACACTTTGGATCTTTCTCCAGCATCATCACAGGATTTCCAACATTTTAAATCCACTTTTCTTGACTGCTGTCAAAATATAGTTTGCATCATCTGCTGACGAAGGAGCATATAACACAACTCAAGTCGATCATTGACACTCGTGATGTCATCTCAAGTCGTCCTGATAAAGAAGGGGTGTCGTTCTGATAAATCGTCAGGAATACGTTGTGAAAATGCTATCGATTCTCTTCGATCAAACTACGTTTGATAAGCCTGCAGTTGAGAAGAACAGAACACAACAGATTGAGATTCAACTCGCAGGTATCCTGAAGAAAATGTAGGAAAATGCGTCGATTTTCACTAGTTTGTATGAGCGCATCCGACCCGTTGGTTCGGTAATTCCACGTCTCTGTGGATTGCCTAAAATATTTAAAGCGGGATTACTTCTTCGCTCGATTTTGGATATGTCAGGTTCTCCTTATCACTACATCCCCACTGGCTAGCTAAAATACTGGAACCAGTCAAAGGGCAAGTATCTCATTGTTCTATTCGTCATACATTCGAGTTTATTGATGGCACTAAGGATGTTGACACCACCGGTAAAGCTATGTTTTCCTTAGATGTTATCTCACTGTTCACCAGTGTACCACTCACTGAAACTGCTTGTTACGTATATGATTTCATCGATTCACACAATTTAGAAGTAGGAATTCTAAAATCTGCTTGAGAGAGCTATTGATGAGATGTATTTTTAATGTGCAATTTAGTTTCGATGGTGAGATATACAGGCAAAATGATGGGGTTGCAATGAGATCCTCACTGGGACCTCTAATGGCGGATTGTTTCATGTCAAAACTAGAAAATTCTATTCTTATCCAAACTATTAAGGATTTTGACATCTATAAACGATATATGGATCATCTATTCGTTATTTGCGACTCAGCTATCGATCTAGATGACATCCTACACGAGTTTAACAGTTGTCACTCAGTTTTGGAATTCATTATTGAGAAATTGGAATCAGCTATTCCTTTCCTTGACGTACTGATTACGAGACATAGCAATGGAGTGCTAAAAAGATCCGTCTACGGGAAACCCACATGGAATGCACAGCTCACTAATTTCTATAGCTGGGTGCCGATCATGAGGAAGAGAAACTTTATCCGCTCACTATGCCATCCAATACGTAATGTGTCCAACTTGAACTTGATTTTCTAAGAGGGACGCTCGCGGAAAACGGCTATCCTAGCCGATTTACCGATAAGACTATGCGAGACTAGTCACCAGCTCATTTTCAAAAAAAGACTTCGTTCATGGACCTGGACTTTAAAGGTGACGCAGCATCAGATATCCTGAAAAATAGTCTTTCCATATCAATTAGTAGGACTTTCTACTCAGTAAAACTTTGCTTGGTTTTTACCAGTCGTAAATTCTCGGTTTGTATAAAAGACAGTATCCCTCGATAGGCCACATCCATTTGTATCTACCAGTTGACCTGCTCCTTTGGACCAAGGTATATCGGCCGTAGTCAGAGATTGATGTCAACATGTATACGAGAACATATTCCTACGTGGTTTTATAAGGGTGAAAGGAAATTGTATCAGAAGTTCTATCGTTGAGCATTTAATCGATTCCAACCATTCAACCGACCCAAACAAGGATTTCAAGGTTTTCTATCAAATTCGCTCAAGCACCTCACGTTTCCTCCATGTTCTGCTTCTAAAAACAGCAGAGGCCTTGGTTATCCATGAACTGAAGCCTGACATTTGTGTGAAACAAAGGTTTGTACAGTCTTTGTCTCTATCTTCGCCTTAACTTATTTTGGTTTTGGTGTGCTTCGTTCCTTTTTTGTTTTTTCAACCCCCTTTTTGTCAGATTAATCTTTGTATTCATACATCGTCATTATCACTTCATTCATATTTTTATATTTAATTGTTTCATTTGATCTTCCTAATAACCGCAACTTCTAACAAAACATTTTCAAGTTGTTATTCATCGAAGACTGACATCAGTTGGAGGAACAAAGGAAACCTGGGAGCACTGGACAGCTGTTTCGTCCTAGTATGGGACTCCTCAGCAGTGCGCACCCACGACCCCACCAGCAGGGATCGAACCCGGGACCTTCAGGTTCCGCGACCAGCGCATTACCATTGAGCCACTGGGTCAGAATCCAAACATTTTCAGTTTATTCCAATTAGTTTGCCTCATTCATATTACCTAATCCTTTGATTGTTTATTAACGTTCTCACCCTTTTTAATCTATATGCACCTTATAAACGATTTAAAAATCTTACTTAACCCTTTTTGTTATCATTCGACTTTTACGTCATCAACTAGCAACACTATAATTGTCACCACCGTTATTATTATTTCAACCCCCATTATTTAAGTTAAATCTTCCTCACGGATTACAGTCTTTAAATATCATATATATACGAATGTACGGCTTGTAAATAAATTCCATGAAAAGAGTCTTCTTCGGTGAATATTTTATTTTTGCGTAAACAGGAGCTCAAGTGTTTAACGAATCTGCTGATCGAGTTGACCTGCTTCGAATTTATGTGTTGATGGCGTTTGGTTTGAGCGTCTTTGTTGCTGTGATGTTCACTTTGTGTTGAGACATGGTTGTGATTTGTTTGTATTGTCTCGGGTGTGTTAGTTTGTGGTTGAGTAATTGATTGTCGGTGATGTATGTCGACATTGATGTTAGCTCTGTTAGTTTTTATTAGTATGGGTGTTGTGTGTGTGTGATTGGCTTGTAGGCGGTATAGCTCAAGTGGTACAGTAGTCGATTGCAGGTCGAGTGGTCACCGGTTCAAACCCGCGAAGAATTATGGGAATAGTTCAGCACGTGGTTCTACTGATTCATTCTTTACGCTGACCGTGCACCTCATTTGTCTGCAATATGCTTGCCCAGTCTCACATATTCAAACCCACACGATGAGTCACTCAATTCAGCCGTCCCAACTGCTTACGAGAGAACACACGGTTTACTACTTATCCTCTGTATACGTCAGGCGATCTCATCCACTATTCAGGATTCAAGCAAATCACCTAACCACAATGCACCATAATTTATCAACATGAACTCAATAAATTCAAACAAAATACAAGATAGTGCACATTAATGCATTTCACTGAATATGCAATTATTTCTGAAACGTGTCATGCACAGGTGGATGAGGGGTTAAACCAAAGCTCGTGAACCGAACTATAAAATAATGTAACCAATTTGGTAATCCGAAAACGACATTTAACATAGATCGAATCATACAATCCGTGACACCTTTCTCATAAACACCGACAGCTTAAAAATGCCTTCATTCACTCACACACTCGCTACCCAGCAGAACACGCCACCACCGGATCAAAACATCCTCACATACTCACACACTTTGATCTAATTCACAAACACTAAAGTGCAACAACATTTACAAGATGCAGAAAAAAACATGATATTCGCACCTCATGTCACTACATAATTTCAGCAATCAGTTGGTAAACCAGTCACACCATCAACGAAAACATTGGTGGACACAACAGTGTATGCACACGTAACCTTGACACAATGACTCATAAATGCATGCGTAAAGAGAGTGTGTATGTGTGTGTGAAAGATGACTGTGGATGTATTATATGTTTGACGAGATGGTTGGAAGAAGGAATGACTTTAAAGGCCACCGTAACAACTGATGAGGCAGTCAATTGCAGTCCTTTAATTTATGGAAAAGTACTTTTCCACTCGAAATATCAAAACCTGATTGGTTATTTCAGTTGTTGTTAGGGTGGCCTTTAAAATCACTCGGGTAGTAGACACCTGATATAATATGTGCGAGTTGGTTCCATACCCAATAACGTCACACCAACCGACTTAGTGGGACGTCGAATAAAAGTGACACCGATGTAATAAAATATTATTAAATATTAGGGAATATTTGAAGCTCAATTGGATGATCTTGATTGTGCTGTGTTCTCTGAGTTGGATTGCTTATAAGTTATTTGCATTTATCAAAATATAGGGGAGAAGAACATGCCTGAAAGACTAGGTTGACTTGACAAAATGTTAAAGAATGAGAACAAAGATAGAGACATGAAGGACATTCGGAATTGACTGGTTGTGATACTAGATTAGATTAGATGACCTACACAACATTACAGAAGATCACTCTGCACACTACGTTCGCCTCTCCAGACACCATTCAAGCACGATCAACAAATAACAACTCCGTGACCAGTGTCAGCCAGATAAGAGTATTGAACTCTTTGCTTAACCAGGTCAGATGATGTTCGGCGATTCAGTGACAGACTTGCCTAACTGTTCGCCCAATGTAACTACCCCCGCAAGAGCAGTTGAATTGATAGATACACACAGAAGAGGCAAAGTCAGGTAGTCTCTCTTCGATTCTCGAAGTCATCATTGGCCGACCGTAGAATATACAGCATAACTTTACCGTATTACATAGTCTCCTTATGGCTTTCTTTAGCCGCTGCGTCACAATTTTGCTGATAATATCACCTAGAAACTGTAGTCATCGGGATAGCGGTTTCTGGAAAGATGTGAGTAGTATGGTTTTATATTAGATATGTTCACATTTTTAGCTAGGAACTTTTCTGAATATCCTTTTGTACTGCATAGAAATATTTATTCCATGAACTTGTTGTGTGATATGACAAAGGATGATCATTTAACTTCAAATGGTTATGTGGATCAGAATTAACTTGATAATTCAATTTAGTGAAATATTCTTTATCAGTTTTTAATTGTTTTGTCCAATCATTTACATTATTTGATAGGATACCAAGGAATATATGCCAACAGATACTACGAAAATGATATACATGTAACTGTCCATTAATAGTGTAGTTAATGAGACGTGAAAATAGATTATATGCACTAGATATGTTTGTTGCAGGAGTAACAATTGGGTGTACAAAATTCCCTTCACAGTACACTGGTTTTATGTTATCGTCATCATTTATAAGTGTACAGTTGAATAGACAGTAGAATTCTCTACTATGAGTGATCGTACAACTTGAACTTTGAATCCAGCCTAAATTAATAGACATGTTAAAGCTTAACTGATTTGGTCTATTACATATGTTTTAACAGAAGGTTCTTCAACAATTAGAAAAGGTGATAATGATAAAGATGCTTTTCATGCTGACCATGTTGTTCTTGATAACATAGAAGGTGAGCATATTTGCTTGTCTATTGAGAATTCTGAGTTGCATTCCAAATATGTTTCATTGTTATCGTCAATGTGAACATTCGATATTGACATTTTCAGTGTTTACGATTGTAACCAATGTTTAGTATCAATGATTTATCTGTTAAAATTACATTAAATATGATAGTAACTTTATGATAATTTGGTTGGTTTTGGCCAGCAGATAACCGAGGACGCATGCTTCGTCCTACTTGAGACTCGTTAGGTGGATGTACCTACACTCCAGTGATGTTGTTCCCACTGAGACTCGAACCTCATACCCATCTGTTCAAACGCCCTAGTGTTATCTACTATGCTACGGAGGAACGATAGCTACTTCTTGTACAACGGGTAGTAGTTATTACTATTTATTGACATACTTGTTATTCTCTGTTGTTTTGTTGGATCGAATTGTTCGACCAATCAAATTATCATAATTAACATTCAGGCAATATCGAGGCATCCGCATAGGAACCGATATGTCAATCAAGGTCGAACAATTCGATTCAACAAAACAACGGAGAATAACAAGTAGGCCAATAAATAGTGATAACTTTTATCATTAAAAATCATATTGTATATTAGTTTGAAGTACTTTATTTGAGAATAGTTTGTATCCTTTTGAAGGTTAATTTTTACAGGGTATACTTAACACCAAATATTCTCATCATTAAATCATCATAATATGCTTACAGTCGTACCTCAAAGGGATTTAAATGAATCTTACGATTTTAAAGAAACAACGTTTACAATCAAATGAACATATGATAAAAAGATTTTTGTCTTGTATTTCTTTAAATAAAAATACTTTAAGACCGGAAAGGGATATCTTGTTTACTCTGATGAGAACATACGGAAGGACGAAAACACCAACGATGACAGCTGCATAACTCTTATTTGGATACCTTGGGATGATCCAAGTAATTCACAACTATCCATTTGTTTGAAAATAAGACTGTCAAATTCTTGTTAACAATAATAATTGTAAGCCAGTTAAGTAATTAACTGTTACCACACAAAATGAAGGGGAGTTTAAATCCTTCTTCTTTGGAATTACTCAGTGACAAGTTCAATATCAGCTTTTCATCCTAACGTGTACTTACTTACATGCTTCTAAATGTACATCATCTGGAAAGTGGTATCCACAGTTTCAGTTAAACTAAGAAGTAATAAATTTGAATAAAGCAAGGCATTTGAATGTATGAAACTAAATGATAATTGAAAACACCATTTACTAATTACAATTAATGGTTGTGTTATTCTTTTTTGTGATAGTAGTCAGGTTTCTTTTTGCTAGTGATCTTCATAGTACAGTCAAAAATTCTTATAGAAACATATCTAAAAGTGTTAGTGAGAACAGATAAGTGGTAGTATAAAAACAAATGAATTTTGAATAATCATTACAGAAAAGGCAATGAGTTGTTACCTATCTAGTATGCATTAAAGAAACTACCTAACTAAATTCAGTAGTATCTTAGTTAGCTTAACAACTGTGTATTCTTAAGAGTTATTGTTGTTACCTCAATAAAAAATATTCTAAGGAAGGAAATATATTTGAAAAAAACTAAGATTATATGAAACTGGTGAAATAAAAGTTATGTTTCGGGGGTGAAAATGAAGAAAATCAGGTGTTATTACGAACAGATTTAAGTTAGATAGAATTCCTGTCACCAAAGAAAATTCATCCTACCAATTCACATTTCCCTGCATAGCTTAGTTAGATAGTTGGTAAAGATAAAACTTCATGGTATCCTAATATTCTTACTTTCATGACATCTTTTAAAACTGTTTTTATCTTTTATAAATATATTGCTTGACTTACATAATCAGTGCTCTAAGTACTTCAAAAGTTTTGTTAAAAACAATGATACATTCATTCATTCATTCATTCATACATTCATTTTGAATGGATAGACGACAGATGAATACAATTAGAAATACTCAAAGAATATATCAGGTTGTTTAGATGGATTTGAGTATGTCATGGTTACTATCGAAGAGAGACAGACATTCAGTTTAACGTTCATATAGTTCTTTAAGGTGATTTGAAGTGCTTACCAATTGATTTTTAAAGGCTAACTTTCAATAATTTTGAAGTTTACCAGTTGAAGAGACTGATACTTTTCATTTATATGTTCTATACCACATTTTAACAATTTTACTGGTTATATTAAAAGTTGAGGGGATTTAGGAGTGTATCCTTTCTATAAGATATTGAAACTACAGATTTACGGTTGAATATAATTACCACATTTGCAAGCAAACTTCATGTTTTTGAGCTTAAAAATAAAGTCTGTTATCAGTTCATCTTATTAGATTCCCTGTAATCGATGGTGATTACCATCATTATTCCCCTTGCGGTACATAATATTAAGTCAAGAAAAGAATAATGGAGAAGTATTTGATAGATAGTGTTTGAGCAACTATTTCGTTCTCATTATCATTCGCTTTGTAATTTATGCACAAGGTCTTTCATTTGATTTAGGTACATCTATTATCTGAAACGAAGAGAAATCATGATAGCTGACAAACTCGAATTGGGACAAAATGTCTGCGGTAACCGGATATAATTTGGCATTATAGTACGTTATTCATAGAGGTAATGCCTACTATTAGTTAAGGGGATAGCTTTTGAGTTCACAGTTGTGATCCATTTTGAATGTCACAATACTTTGAAACGCTGATAACAGCTTTTTTTTCAAACCCTCTACAGAACTTATGTCACCGTGGGGCCTGGCAGTACTGTGTAACACCCTAAGTTCGCATAAACCACATCAGTACATCAAGATAGAAGATATCAATAGGAGAAAAACAGAAATCGGAAAAATAGTAATCTAATCTGTTAGAAAGTGATAAGAGGGAAAGAAAGTGGAGCAAAACAATACTGAAGTGTGATATGACGCTTAAGAAGCAGATAATGTGTGGATGCACTATCACCACTGAGAACGATTCTCAGCCACACCACCTAGAGTCTCCAACTGCTGAATTCGCTTGTTATATGGACCCTGGGCTGGGAGCCTACATTCCACTATATGACGTCTTATGTTAGTTACCTTTAATCTCTTTTAGACTAATCGCGCTTCAACTAATGTCACTCAACAGGGTAAACAGTTACCATACATGCATAACATATGTTCCAGCTACCAAAGTTAATGAAGGTTTACAACTATACCGATTGACTTATCTCTTAGCTAAGGCCTTACATATAACCTCTACATTACTAAACTGGGGGTTCCACGATACAGCATATAATACAAAGATAACGATGGTTGAACAACTGAAACCTTCTTATTTAATCCACCTTTAATGGCCATATGTTTCAGTCATATAGTGGAACAGAGCCAGTTGCTGTGCAATATGCTTTAGGTCTTAATGGCCGATTAGATATCATGACTGACAAAGACAGTGTACGTTGTTAAAACCCAGTCAAAACTTTTGTAGAAGTGCAGATATTTCGTTGGCTACTGATAAATCAGGGCTGATCTAACCTCCCGAGTTTATGAAGTGATCAATGTTCTTAACCATTTCACTGCAGTGCAGATCAGCCCTAGAGCAACAGCTTGCATTTGGGTGACGAGGAACACGACAAAATCATTCTCAAATTATAATTAAGGGCATCGAAAAGAAGCTACATCTTGGGAGTATTTTCATCTAACAGTCCTACGTCGTCTGTATACACCATACATACCGGGGAGTCTCTAGAGACAGGGTTAGTCCGTGTAAAGTGAAACGAAGAGAGGGAAACTTTCGTAAGTATGTCTTTAGCGAAATAAATAAGAGTGGATAGAGTGAACATTCTTGATGAACACCACTCGACTTACACAACTCGCCTGGAACCTTATCATTGGCACAAAAACACCTACTGGTATTTGAATACAGAGCTGTTCAGTAGAGTGATGTACTTATCTTGTACCTTTTTCAGTGAGGGTCGCTCATACGACAGAGTCACCCATAGAGTTAAATGCCGCTTTCAATTAAAGAAATAAAACTGATCACTATCTAAGTACGTTTTAATCCAAACCCAGAAAAATCTTGTTTTGACTGTCTAAGCACGCTGGGACTATATTAAAACTTATCTATATAATAATTATATCGGACTTGGCGCCCAACTTCTTCCAGGACATTCATGACAACTATAGCCGGGATGTTTATAGCTAAATACAACTAGTGTATGGGACCTGCAAGTGTATCTGTGTTTCAAGTTCTGGCAAAGGGTACAGGTTTGGTCGATACACCCACGACAAGATTTGAAACCTGCCTGGTATCCTCGGATTTGTTGTTGCCGAGTTTCACGTAGACGTCCTATGGCTATATAACAACCTTAGATACTATATTCATCAGACAGATTCCTCTGTGGTTATCACAGATTTTTCTCCTGGTTTAATCACTGGGATAGGGGAATCGTATCTGGTCCCTACATGCTAGCTAACATTCTAGTTATTCTCACCAATGATCCTAGACCACTATCCTAGAATAACTCTGATACTGGTTCACCAGAGCCTGCTGCCCTTCTGCTCCTCAAGTTCTGTAAGAATTGGTCAACCTATCTCAATGTCCCACTAAGAATTGGATTGGACAGCGGACAAGCGAATACTAACTGGAGTCCGATTGAAGTAGTCCTCAGGGTTAGCCTATCTTTAGAGTTGTCTTTACTATTGGTCAATCTCAGATCCATCCTTTCCGCTATAGTCTCAGTCTCACTAACCATTGAAATTTTTTTGATAATTCTAAATAACTGTCTATTATCATTTATTTCCATTGAATTTCCCATGTCTTCACTGCCCACGACTTCTCGTGGTCACTAAGTGGACTTTTTGTTGCGTATGACTGGGAATTTGAAAGAGGTTGCTGACATTCGCT